CGCACCCCCTGCCGCCATCATTGTACCTCTTCGGGCGCCCCCAGACATTGCCAGACGTTCGCAGCCCCCACCCACGCGCCTGCCTGCCTTGGACTAAGCCGTTATCCACCCATGATCCGTCCGTAGCTAGGTACCATCCGCCCCCAGCCGATGTCGTCCATGGTGGACACCATACCCGGCAGGTGTTCAGTCAAATGTCATTGAGGTTTTTTTGTTGAACTTCTTGTTGTTCTCTAGAGTGAGCATGATATGGGGTACTCGTTGATGGAGAATTTGTTGATGTACGATGCGTGGAAGGTTGCACTGCTACAGAAAAGCCTACTAGCAACTGACAACACTAGCGCAGCCACGCCTAAAGGTTTGCGGCTCGAGGGGGCCCGATTGGCCACTTTGGCTGAGAGGGAGCCCCTGAGCCGAATGAAGCGGAATCTGATGGCACAGGCGCAGAACGTTGCAGGCACCAGCCGGTCTTGGAGGTAGCTTTTTCCCGACTGCTGATGCATTGGCATTATCCTATTCTTCGCACTCCGGTGCAGAATTTAGCTGCGCCCACTCGGATCGCAAAATCGATTCAGCCGTTAGGATCAGCGGCTGGTGACATTCGTCATTTGACTGTTTTGCCCAAGGAGGCACTGGAATAGAATCAAGCAATCACTCAGTCGCAAAATAGGATCCATTCCTAATCAGTCCGGGCTGATACTACAGCTTCAGCCCACAGTCCTGAAGTGGGTCGGAGGCCAGTTATTTCAACCTCGTCGAGGTGTAACTCCTCCTCGCCGGCGTGATGATCCGCCGCATCGTGGGGGCCTGACTCCGCTGTGCCACGAACATCCATTTACAACTAAGTGCACTCTCCTCGGCACAACCAATACTCACCTCGCCATCGAGAGCCTTCGCCCTGACATACGGCAATGTGCCTCACTACGATGATAATCGAAGGCGAGAATATTCTCCACACCAGCAGGATGATTAGTAACCCGGAGGGCACGGGGATTCGCCTTGTGGACGTGACAGGCGCCCTTATGATGCTCGGGATTGCTTAACTCAGGCCCGAGTGGACCGAGGTTGGGCAGAGCACCTGAGTGGCTCTAGCTATCACTTACAATATGTAGGAAGGCATGAATACTCTATCCCATGTCAAGACTGAAAAGTGGTTTGAGGCATAGAAAGGATGCTTATGAAAATAGGTCAGCCGAATCAAATAGATAGTTATCTCCGAATGGTAGATAAGTACCACAAGTTCGAAGCAGATCGAAGCTGGTCATATTTGCAGAGTTTAATGACGTCAAGAGTTAGATCTTGAAGTAAAGATGAACCATGACCCTGCTGCAAACAGAAAAACCGTATCAGAGTGGATAAGGTAATTGTATGACAGGACAGAACAAGGTTTTACACTGCAAATTAACAATCACCCATCATTCAACACAAATCAAATGGATTCAAATCATTAGCTTTTTCCTGAAATGTGTAAGACCAAACCTGTAGCATATGGAGTAGATCTTTAAGGCCTAGTTTGGCAGCACAGTTTATCTAAAACAGTAGTATTACAAAACCTCGGTATTCCAACGCGTGGACGTTGAATACTTCAGTATCTAAAGACCACAGTTTTTCGTGGCTTTGGCAAAACCATTGAGGCGTTTGCCAAATGTTTTTTCTCAGTTATCTCCAATTGTCACCAGTTGTTAGATTGCATGGATAACACTGAAGATGTCGAGCTGAACCGAACTCAGCTACACGATCTAACCAGCTTGTGCTC